CGGTTACACTAACTTCCCACCTGCTAAATCAGAATTCCATAAACCAGCCCCAACAGACGGTTTGGATTGTCAGGTATCACTTGGTTTTCAAGTTGCTTTAAGCATAACATTGGAATTTATTCTAACCGGTACGTTGGCATTAAATCCCTATATAGCTTATGATATTACAATTGCGCAAAATGCAAAAAATAATTCCGTTTATGATACCACTGGAGTTCTGTCAATTAATTTTGATATTTATGTACAAGGAACACTAGGAATTGTTATAAAAGGAGTCAGTATTGGTCCATCACTCGTCTCTCCGTCAATTACATTGTTACATTTCACAAAGCCACTTTTCACCAATATATTCTGTAAGTACATAAGTTTTAATGAAAAAATGTCGAAAGATCGTGCTTGAAACACCACAAGTTGACACTTGAGAGTACCAGCTGTCTTGAGCCTTGATGCTCTATCTTCCAACATACACGTAACGATGTGAGCCAGTAATCCCTAGAAAAATCACACCGCTTGAGTCAAGCCAGTTTAGGGTTAGTTTTGTATGGTCGAAGTTTTTCCCGCTGAACTGTAATTCCAGAAAACTATGGTTTTGGGAGGCCTTCTTTCAATGAACAAATTCCCTTAATGGCAATTTTGATTCATTAAGTCAGTTTTTGCAGAGTACTGTTCATGTTAGGACCACTTGAAATCAGCACCAGAGACACTGACCAAAAGCATAGATTGTATAGCTGCGGTGTGGGTCTGTAAATAACACCAGTAAATGAGCAACGCTTTCTTTCAGAAGCTCTCACCTTCTCCGATGCTTTCATCAGGGCTGCTTGCAAAAATCTTCGTTTATGAAGATGCTGATGAGCTCTGTGTGATTTTAAAAGGAATCTAACACATACGGATAGTGATTGATAGAGTACGGTTTTTAAGTTTTAACCGAGTTGTCAATACAAAGTAGGATCTTCGAAACCTCTTAGATGAATTCTGGGATATTTGAATTCTAACACTTGAATAACATCAAAATTAATAACAGAAATATTCAAAAATCTGGCTCTGTCCCTTCTGGAAGAGAAATTTCGATAAATACAAAGAGCGTTTTGGCCACTCTCATGAGCGAAAAAATTTCGTCATCATATTTCGACGTAACCAGCAGTCCTTGAAACTTTGTCAAGACCCGACTTATGATTACCGAGATAGGTTTCTACATGGGAGGAGGGCTGAAGTGAAGAATTCTCATCGAAACGCATTCATGATTGTTCTCTGTATTTAATAGCTTCACGCTATGTTGGCAAGGATCAACCAAATCCGCAAATAGCATCAACATTGAAACCTGTGGATGGTTCACGTGCAACTGCTGGCGGTATGTATTTTTCAGTAGCGTAACCGCTCAGGAAATCATTGGAACTGAAGCCCGGTTGTAGGCTTTATTCTCTTTTCATTGCATGTTTCCGAAGCTTTATGCTATTATTGTGTATATCTGAATAGATGTCGGTCACCAACTTCTAGGTCTTTCTTGGAAAGGAAGCAATCCTGAACTATTCCCCGAGATTTTTACTTCAGGCTGGAGAGTTCGGGTTTGTTGTTATTTTAAACTAGACACCTAATTACATGGACTAACCAACTAAACTAAAACCTAATTCAAAAATCGACGCCGCTCAGTCCACGTAGTTTCTTTTCTTCTTTAAATAAAAAAAGAATGAACTGTCTACGTGAAGTATATTAAAAAATCTTGGGAAATACTTCAGGTGTAACTCCCATGTAGAGATAACACTGTAATAAAAGCTGTATAAAGTGCTCAATTTTAGGACATATAGGAAAACGCTTGTAACTTTTTGACGCAAGGTCATACAGAGCTGTGCAAGGTCTAATTTAGGTCACAAAAGTTTTCTCTACAAATATGCGCGTTGATAAAAGACTATTATTTGAAGACCCGGTTTGTCGAGGCTACTAGAAACCTTGCGAAAAAGCCGCGAAAAATCACTTGTATAACCGAAAGCGGTACAGATTCTGAAAGTAGACACTTCAGGCTATCTTTTCATGTCTTATCTCAAAATCGTTTTTAGACGTAGAAAAAAAAAATCGTTCTTTCAACGTAGAATCCGCCTTTGCACATGAATATATGGCTTTGGATGACCTCTTCTTCTCTTAGCTGGATCTTCTTTTGTGTGGCTTCTGACCATGGCTAAAGTTTTTCTTAATGTATTGTTTATAGCAAAGTTCAGTAGCCCCGTTAATGTGAGAATGAAGAGAATCTGAATTACTGTTGTTGCTATATATAGAGTATGGAGTCAATTTGCTGGTGGCTTCGGATGCTGAATCCGTTCAGTGCGGAAAAACAGCTGATGATAACTTTCTTCCACCAGGTGATAAATGGAAAGTTCAAGGAAAAATAGATCAGGTATTTTACAGTGCAAATCTTGATCAAACAACAACAACACCAGGGCCTAAGTACGTAAATTTTCGTTTCGTTTTGCATATCAAAATGCGGTAACATTGATTTCACATCTTAGAAAAATCTGGAGTGTCATTTTCCGTTTCCAGAATAGAAACTGCATTTGTTTTTGCTTTTTAAAATGCAAAATTTAAATATCAGAATGTTAAAGATTTATAATTTGCATTTTTCAAAAATTGATATGAAAAAGTTGTGCGCATGTCGGAAAAGCGTTTCAATATATTTCGATTAACCTGTTCAATTTGGATAGCAAACTTAACTTAACTTAGAAAAATAAAATGAAGAATTGTAGAAACCGATCGAAAATCGTCAGTTAGAGATCTCCCCTAGTGATGGATTCTCACAAAAAAGTCTGACAGTAATCTGATAAGAAACTTATTAGAATCCGCTACGACTCGTATTAACAATCTTATTAGATTCTTATCGAATTCTTACATAAGAGGTTCGCACGAAAGTGACAAGAATTTGATAAAAAGCAGATAAGGATCAGTTAAGAATTCAACAAGAAAAGGGCTAGAACTGACTTCAATGTTTTTTTTTCCTTCTTTGGTTAGTTGTATAGTTCATTAGTGAGTATGTAAGAGGTCGCGAGGCATTTTCAAAACGACCAGTCTTACCTACCTTGAAGAAACTTTGAAAAAATTTCCAAGAAATCAGTGGTGCTTATATAATATGTGATTCTGCAAAATAAACGGTGATTGGCTTTTACTAAGAATTTCATAAGGAAGTGATAAGAAAGGTATAAGACCGCTTTATCAAAGTCATAGCTCATTCTTATTTAAATCTTATCTGATTCTTGTCAGATTCGTATGAAAATGTTGCCATTTTCGTGTGGACTTCTTATGTAAGAATCTGATAAGACTCGGATAAGATTCTTATCAGAAATAAGGAAAAATGTTTGTCTAGGGTGACTGAAAATACATCCTCTGCATTAATTATCTTTCTCTGCTAGAAGGAAGGAGTCCTTCATTTGGAGGTTCTTTCGACCTCCTAAGATCTAGTGAATAACGAAGGAAGCTGTCATATATATTTATAAGTATTATGAAAGCTTGAAAGATTTTCTTAACAATGGAGTCGAGGGATGAGTGCTACATAACGTGAGAGTAAGACACAGAACAGGTACATTTGGTTTTTTAACTTAGAAATAGATTATTTTGCTCAATACTGCTTTATTATGTTTCAAATGTCAACAGAAATTTAAAAGCGTGAAATTGGAAAAAAAATTTTCTTTCAATTAAAAAAATATTTTCCTGTGGCCTACAGTTCAAAATTATACCTACCTTCTTATTGGGACTTCAAAAATATGCTCGGTGTGGAAAACCTGTTATTTAAATATGCTTCAAGATGAACTGCATAGAATTGAGTGTGTTCTTTTAGAATATACATATATTTCAAAGTGCTCAGAAATCAGTGAGAGAGACAAGGAAATATTTATCAACTAAAGAACCATCTTTTATACTATCTTTTAATTATCTTTTATCTGTTTAAGGCCCACCCCCCACTCAAAAAAAGGTTATTTTGGTGAAATTTATCGACTTTTTTTAAAATAGCGCATTTGATAGAGCATCACGTTCGCTATCGAATGCACTATAGTTTCTTAATTTTACGATAGGGTTTAAGGGTTTCACACAGGTTTTTCTGAAAACCTCTACCGAAAAAGACGACATTTTTTCGTTATTTTGCGTTTTTCTCAAAATGAGATGTTTTGGTTTTACGTTTTCGTGCGTCCCAAATTTCTCCGCCATTTTGAAAGCTAGAAAGCTCGGGTTTGTTTTAAATCATAGCTAAAGTCTGACACTACAGCTTAACAGAGCCCGATTCTTCGATTTCAGAATTGACGTCAGATGAAAAGAAAATGTTTGAGATCCGACACCCTTGTAATTTCGTATCGTGACGTAAAAGTTCTATAAAAAATGAACTACAGAGAAATTAAAAAATCGGTTTCTGTTAAGTTGTAGCCCTACATCTTAGCTACATTTTAAAACCAACCCGAGCTCTCTAACGTTAAAAATGGCAGATAAATCTGGGACGGACCAAGACCCATTTTTGGACCTTAATTGTGAGCTAGCTCTTGATAGATTTAATATTTCGAGCTGAAATTTTTACTGTGAGGTCATCATATCTAGATGCACCACCTCTGAAAATTTCATTAAGATCGGATGCTCGTAAGCAGAAATGGATTTTTGGGTGGAGGATGGGCCTTACTATGTAAAGTTATAGTTGTTGGTTTTCATATAAAAATTTTATGAGAGATTTGTCAGAACGAAAGTAGTAGATCTTGTTCGCCATGTGTGTCTCAGATGGATCATCACGCGTTTCCTCCCAAAAAAACCAAGAGCACGAACACAATACAGAGAAATAAAAAACATTACCACGTGAACATTATCTCACATTAATAATCTTGAACCAGAATGAGATTGAGAATATAAAGTCCCATTATATCATTCTGAAACTTAAACTATCAAAACACAAAATCAATTCTTGTACGAAGCTAGGATCGAACACGAACTGGATATTTGCAGAAGTACTACTAAAATCAACTTTGCTGTTTTTTCTTATATTCCGCACACTGATTGATGATAATTTAAGTTATATATTGGAAGAACTGAAAATAAATATAGATTTTTTTTAAAAATCTCCTGATGTTCTTGATAGAAGTTTTATATTGTTCTTCCTCTCACATTGCTGTATGCGAAAGTTTCGTACCATTCAGTTTTAACAGAAAGTAAAACTGGAATCAATGTAGAATTCTCTACTCTGCAATGGTAAATATAAACACTGAAAGTGATTTTTGCTACTGCTTGACCAGTTGAGAGGGGGTAAGAAAGGTTCCATACTAAAAGAAAAGAGGTCTGTCACAATCCTGTTGATTTTAAGGCCTCGCGGCTATTGCTATTATTTTGGTGGTAATGGAAAACAAAGCAACGGACAAACAGATAATGGTATATCCAATATGTCACAGTTTATTAATTTAACAGCTTATGAACAATCTATAAAGAATGTCCCGCTTAAGGCGGAGCGAAACCGACTAAAACTACATAGCCTTAAGGAAGAGGGATAGAGTGATTACAGACACGAAAATGNCACAATCCTGTTGATTTTAAGGCCTCGCGGCTATTGCTATTATTTTGGTGGTAATGGAAAACAAAGCAACGGACAAACAGATAATGGTATATCCAATATGTCACAGTTTATTAATTTAACAGCTTATGAACAATCTATAAAGAATGTCCCGCTTAAGGCGGAGCGAAACCGACTAAAACTACATAGCCTTAAGGAAGAGGGATAGAGTGATTACAGACACGAAAATGTTTGTGTTTATTTAGAATTCATTCTTTTTGAGTTGATTTGCTGTTTAGTACCCATTTTCACTAAGAGAACATGATTGACTTTACTGTAAGCTTCTCTTTCCAGCGCACATTGTAATACTTTGTCTGTACTTATACTTCGCCTTGTCTAAGAATCATTAGCTAAAACCATCATCTGACAATGGTCAACATTCTTACTCCAGATCCGGATCAGTTTTTCGTCGAATTGTTAACACATTATAGAGAATATTACATACTGCTTATCCTGAAGAAAATTTAACCTCTGTGTTACAGTATTCCTAGAAAACGGTAGAATATTTGAAGATATACCGATATTGTATTCTTGTTTGTTATTACGTGATTCGATTAACGGTGAATATTGTTTACTTTTGATTTAAGAAGCACGCGATTTTAGTAATCGTCCTTCTTAATAGCGAAAACTTTGAAAATGTGCACCCATTATACATGACGAACAATTGCCTTAGCCTTGTTCTAGGAAGAGGAGACTTGAAAACACCGAAACGGACAAGGGGTGTTTGTTGACAGGAAGTCGGTTGTGGACAATCTCTTATTCAAAAGGCATCGATCAACAATCATTATCTTTTACTTTGTCGGCATTTCTGGGCGGTGTTGCTGAACAAGAAGATGACGCCAAAGTTGTTGTTCTTTTTCTGAATAATGATTATCATACAATACAGACAGAACAAATTGGACCGGTTTCTGCTAAGGATAGACAAGATAAAACATCTTTACTGAATCAGACAAAGACTGGCGTAATTAAATCATCAACACGCTATATTAATGTATATTTGATACTGACACGGAAATCAGATGTGACGAAATATGGAACAAACAATGATGGAAATGCTGATGATATTGTGTTTATGATTACGCAAAATGGTGAGTAACCATAGATATTCGATGGAGAGAAACCTTTGTAGTGATCTCTGTACTCACTTGTCCTGTTCAGACTTAGCTCAAGAGATGTCCAGGCAAAAAATAGTTTTTTTATTGCTTGCAGGACAATTCTCCAGAATGTTTCATCAGCCATTGCTGTCAGTGACCAATGGAGACAGAGTTTAGCATAAGGAAACTTAGCGTACTTCTGAGCTAAAACTAAGTAGGAGGTTGAATACTTATTTCCAAATCACTTCATTCATCAGTAAGTTCTTATGAAAACTCTGAATTAATTTAAAAGCAGCTGAACGAAGGAAGAAAAGTATGCATCTCGAGTGGGAATCGAACACAGAACAGTGGTATTCACGATCATTGCTCTGATCGCCGAGCTATCGAGACACAGTCTTTGATGCATACTTCTCTTCCTTATAGATGCACCCCCTCCTCCTAAATAGAAGGCTACTAATATATTAGTAGGCCACCCTTAATAGAAGGCTAATCTGGAGCGAAAATTTTTGAGAAACGCCCTCCCTATAGGGCAGTTTTTCACCAAAAAACGTGTGATGTGCGAAATCGTAATAGAAGACCATGGTCTTATATTCTGGAAGGGAGTTTATTAAATAGTGACAACCAGGATTTTTCTACGTAAACTGATTTATCGTCAAGTACGCCTGGAAGTGAGAACACACCAGGACCATATAAGATCGAATCGCATTTTTATATATGTTACCGGCATTCTTAGAATAGCGAACGGACATAATTTTTATCGCGAAGCCACGACAGGTTATACGTAAATCCCACAAATGATGCTGCCTCTGTATATGAAAACATGCAGTTTTTGTATGAGCTAATTTGAAAACTCCAACATTCTGTGAATTACTTACGTAGTGGACAGCTTTTTTTTATCTTAAATTATTTTATTGTTCCAAAAGAGGTTAACAATACTAATATCATCGTGTTGCATGACAGAATAAATAAAGAGAAACAAATAAAAAGAAATAAATTTCAAAAGAATGTATTCCTAGCATGCAGTTTATCACTTCCTTCATTTTCCATCTTATAATTAGACAATCTATTATAAATTTTTTAACATAATACAGAGAGAAAGAAGAACACTGTGAGCAGAAAGAGCATTTAAAAAAGAATAAAGTTACAAAAACAGTTTAAGAAGCCAAAAAACTTACTGTCATTGTAATTAAATGTGATTACTTAGTTGCGTACGTATAACTAGAATGTTTGTGGAAAGTACTTAAGTGCGAACCATTCTAGGATTGCAGAAGAGGGTTTAAAAGAGTAAAACTGATCCTAATTTAGTTCTTATCTCCATTCCTAAGTATTTGTATAATGCAACAATTTTGATTTCTATATTTTTATACTGAAGTTTTGGTTTACTTGGCGCAACAGCACTATGTATTAGCATTGCTTTGGTGTTTTAACATTGACAGGGAGGATAAGATCATCAGAAAATTTCTCAAGTGTTTTTAAAACAGTTATGGCCTGTTTTTCGAGATCGTTAATATTGTAGCTTAATCTTTTTTCAAGACTTCCTTTGAGTACTAAAGTCAGATCATCAGCAAACAAAAGCGATAAAATATGCGCAAAGTGGGATGGAAGAAAATAGATGTGTAAACGAAATAATAGAGCAACAAGTACGGACCTTGAGGAACACCGACGAAAATTTTTATAATTCATGATACGAAAGTACCATAATTGATGGTCATTGTGCGGTTTTGTGACCATAAAAATATCCATCTTCGGAGATCTAATCGCATTTCAAGGTCTTCGGGAGAGCTAGGTACCACATTTTATCGAAAGCGGTTAGAAAATCTACGAATATTACTAAAGCAGGACGATTAGATGCGGCAACTGTTAATCGTAAATCTTCTACCAGCGATAAAATTCTAGTTTACGAGCGGCGATGCGCAGTGAACCCTGACTGTTCATCGAAATGTATACCTTTATCCTCATACCATTTTTCAATTCGCTTGGCAATAATTTAGCAGAAACTAGCCCTGCTCAGAATTACAGAATAAATGAATAGTTTAATTTTCAACAAATGACAATGCTTCTCAATTAAACTGACATGTTATGTTTCATGCGTAGATCAGAGAAAAATTTTGCTCCATATACATCTCACGTAGCTGTTTAGCCTGTCCAAAAAAGCTTACGCGGATTTGTTTTCGTGTTCTGACTTTTTCTGCAGCAGTACCCCTGGCGAAAGACGTCTAGATATTCTTCGGGGCGTTTCAGCTGCAACAACGCCAACATTAGTTATACTATATCTAAAAGCGTTGTTCGTTATCCTTATGAAAAAAATTGATAACTGAATTAAAGAAACAATAATAGTTTCTTTGTTCAATTCTATGCCAAAAGAACTGCATTTTAAAAATAACTTTTTCTATAATGGTGACAACCAACGCTTGTACAGATAATATAACTAATGTCGACATTGCTGCAGCTAAAACGTCTCGAAGAATATGTAGACATCTTTTGCTAAATAAAACGTCTTAAAATTCTAATTTGTATCTGGATTAAGAAAGCGTTTGAAACAGAGTCACTTTCAGAGAAATAGTGCAAAAAGCGATTAATATTTGTCACTTATTCTCAGAATACTTTCTAAAGTGTTTCTCAATGTAGCGCTTTGAAACTCCTACAGAGAAACGCGTAGCAAGTAGTACCCTTCTCCACAGTTATACATACGTTTTCTTACAATATGTATTCTACCAGATATCTTCTACTTTGCCGCAGACAATACTCAAATTTTTCTGATAGGTATCCAGTTCCGAACAAGACTTGATCATTCTCAATTTTCAAATGTAGCTAACTAGGACTACTTTTTCACATTCGACGTTATGCATATGATAATCTTGTTTAAAAGTGGAAACCTTATACACCGCTCACAAAATCTTTAGAGCTTCATGTCAAACACCTTCTAAATAAACAAGAAAAGTTTAGGTTTGTTTTGAATGCCACCGTTTACCAGCGATAAATTCCAGTTCACAGTTAAATTAAAGTAGTTGGGTGGAAACAGCAATTTGAAAACAGCAAGGCGCATATCAATTCCTAGTACGTTTTAGTGACCATAGCAGGTTAGGTTAAGGCGTAATCTCTAGTAGCTATGTGTGACTACTGATCATTGCTTCTGCACCTCCGGGTCGGGTTAGGTTAAGTCATCATGTTGAAAGTCAAAATATGTCACCGTATCTGTGGACTGAGTTGGGTTGAGTAGTCTTCTCTATGCAGCTGTGTGTGACTAGTAGAGCCCCGTATGGACTGGACTATGGACTCAAATTTTTTGGATTTCATGGACTCGGACTAGACTGAGCTCAGTCTTTCAAGACCATGGGCTGGACTCAGAAGAATTTTGGATGGACATGAATCGAGGAAAATTCGGTAAACGGCAAGTTGGTTTTGGTTTGTTAAAGGCGATTCTAGACTACTAATAGAGAAGAAAAAGAAATAACAGAATAAAAGTAAATTATAAACACGGCTCGAGAAGAATCAGAGATACACCCAGAAGGATGTGTGAGTCAAAGAACTAAAATGAAATAACCCATATCTCTCATTCTCTAGTCCTTTTTGGAATTTACTCTTATTCCGTTACTTCTTTTTCTTGTCTGTTGGTCTCATCGTGTGTTCCTTTTACTTTAACTACCACCACACGGACTATTTCATATGTTCGTTTATATGTACAAGTTTCGTGTATAAATAACATCTCTCTTTATAGCTGAAAAACGTGTCTAAAAGAGTGAAGACAAGTAGGCAAAAATTCAGTCTATTAGGCTATCACATCTTGTAGAGCAAGCAATTTTCTACAAACTGGTATATTTGCTGAATTTTTGTCTACTCGTCTTCACTCTTTTAGACACGTTTTTCAGATAGCTCCAAAATCGGTTTTGGGGGCTGTTGTACAACGGCTGTATTTTTATAACGAACCAACGTTCAGAACCGATAAACTTCATTTTGTAGACAAATGTTCAATCCACTTAATTATCTAGCGGCAATTTTAGATTATTTTCTAACTTTTATTGCAGTAGTTCTTTAAAAAAGAGCGAAAAAAGGAGACCCTTCGCGGGACAAGCCGTAAAGTCATAATATGTGATTAAGATCAAATTATAAAAATTTTCTTAAGTGCCTCAAAACTGCGGTTAGAAAATAATGATTGTGGACAAAATCGCTAAAAGAAAAAAATCCTCCTGCGATCGCTTGAGCCTATAAAGAGTCTTATTAAGGAAAAAATTTGTCCAGATGAAATAGAGTGAATATTGCGGAAAACAAGTCCAATAAAGCTACTAGCTCTGATGTTACCGGTAGAATGGTAAAAGAGTCTAGTGATATTATCAATGGGGCGCTAGCTGATATATGCAATCAGTCGTTTTTAGAAGAGCAGTTTCCATCCGCATTTAAAGTAGGACAAATAACTCCGCTTTATAATAGTGGGGAACAGTGGTTACCAAGTAACTATCGTCCTGTTACTTTACTTCATGTATTTTCAAAACCTTTAGAAAGAGTAGTCTATTCGCGTCTGTACAATTACCTAACTAAGAATAATTTACAAACGCCGTTACAGTCTGGTTTTCGCCATCGTGATTCTACAGTGAATCAGTTAATAGACTTTGTGCACGCTGTCGAGTTGGGGATGGAAGATGATCAACTAACTAGAGGTATATTTTTACATTTCAAAAAAGCTTTCGATTAGTCTGGCATGCAGGTTTACTTTATGAACTTAAGCAAAAAGGCTTTTCAAGTAGCATGTTGAAATGGTTCTCCTCTTATCTTTCTGACCGAACGATTGAAACAAAAATAAATGGCACTCGCTCAAGTAGAAGGAAAATTAATCGTGGAGTTCCACAGGGATCCATCCTTGGACCCCTTATGTTCCTTGTTTATATAGACGACATTGTTTTGAATTTAAAATCTACAGCTCGCCTCTTTGCTGATGATGTTCTACTACACGTAACACACAAATAGCTAAAAATCGCTACTGATATGTTAAATGAAGATCTGAAAC